TTTGTATCTTTTCATATCAGCATGACTTTCCACTAATCCTGCATTTTTGGCCTCTTATTATGATTTCTGTTTAATAATAAAGAGAAATGTGGGCAAGCACTTACAACAGGGCCTTGATCGGTTCACACACAGTACAGTGCAAAAGTTGAGACCACCTTTTATTTAATTTCCAGTCAAAACGTTCATTAAGTACAAGTTATTCATTTTTAAGGACATGTTTCTGTAGATTAGATGTAAGATAATCATTTGCAAAAGGAGGAGTGAAGTCAGACTAAAAAAACAAGTTTACAAAACTGGCTTTCAAAAAATGATTAAAAAATACAGAGAAAATGAGACAGTAATGTGAAACCTTGTACACCAAAACTGTTGGATAATTAAACCTATCCGATAAGTACTTTCATCTTTGAGAGAGGAGAAAGTCAAGCTCAACTCTTGCTTCAGATCTAAAAAAACAGCCACAGGGATTTCTGTCAATCCTTCCGCTGTGAGAAGACAACTCAGTGCTGTGGGTCTAAAAGGATCTGTAGTTGTCTTTACTGAGATAAGGAGAAAATGAAATAGAAAAGAGGAATGTCATTCCTATAGGGTTGAAAACTGAAAGAAAGTCTCTAAAAAAAAATGGAGGTTGTAATAAAGGCAAAAGGTGGACACACTTGTGGAAGCTGCTGGTTTAAAGCATTGTGAAGGAGTGAAAATAATCAACCCGGAGATCAGAAAGGAATGTTGTGTACTAATATACTGTATGTCCAAAAGTATCCAGACACCAATTCTTCACGAATTCCATGGTGTTCAGTTGCACACACACAGTTTTTATAATCTCCATAGAAAAGCACTGCCAGTAGAATGGAATGCTCTGAAGCAGCTGCACATGAACTTAAGGGCACTATGCCCAATGCTAAGTGTCAGCTAGGGGTATAAAGTGCTTATGTTTTCTAGATTTGTACACATTATTTTCAGTGCCTACACATATCTGGCCTGATTTCAGTGGAGTCACTTGAGGGCTTTTTTGGGTTTCTTCAGCATATTTCCTGTAATGGAGAACTGACTGTTCAGTTTTTCTGTTTACACAACTAAATCAAGTAAATGTGGACACTTTTGTTGGTACTAAATTAGCAATGGAATACAGCACTAACTACATACGGTTGAGCTTGTATTATCTTTCTTTTATCATGTCTTTTCATTTTTCATGTTTTTGTGTTATGTAGTATTACAAATACTCAAATCATGGATACAATACAAATACATTAATATAGCAAACAAGTCTCAAATTCAAAGTGTAGGACAAAAATTAGGCAAGAAATGGGACAAGACTGTGATGAAGTATTTTATTTTATTGCCACAGATCATACAAGAGTTTCTGCACAGGGTAATTATACCTTCAGATCACATAAAATGTTATGTGAAAGGGAAAAAGGTGTAGAAGTCTCCTCATCTGGTCAGTTCTGGGCATTGTATGGGTCCATTTCCAGATGGTCTGTGGTCTAATTCTGCTGCCTAGACGGGCCTGTGGAAAAAAATACTTGTATGCTCAAAAAAATCACCCTCTTTTTCTGCCCAGCATGGTGCAGATTCCGTCAGGTATGTCAATTTTTAGGAAATATTTAATATTGTAAATTATTAATAACTGACCATTAAAAGTTATGACTGGGTTAGTATGTTGCATGCTTATAAAGGAGCATTTAGTCAACGTAGTATTACAAAGGATATCCAGTCTATTAGTCTTTTCTGCCAACTCACCATTATTCTGTAAAGCCTGCTCTAAGGAAAAGTCTGCCCTGTGAAAGGAAAGGACGAAGAACCAACACCTGTGTTAACTACATTGGCAACTCCAGGCAACCAAGACATACAGGCCAGTGACTGGAATTCCCCTTATTATCCTGAAGAAGTTCACCCAATTAAGCCCTTAAAACAATCTCTGACCCGTCATCAGTTCCTCCCAGGAGGTGGCGGTAGCTGTCAATCTCAGCCTCCAGCTTCATCTTTATGTTGAGCAGGGCCTGGTACTCTTCGGTCTGCCGCTCCACCTGTTCTCGTACTTTGGTCAGCTCAGCACCAAGTTGCTGGATGATCCGGTTCAGACGGGCCATTTCCCGCCCGTAACGACCATCTGCGTCCTTCAGAGTCTCTTCCAAAGAGAGGATCTGAGCAAAAGCCATTGAAATACATCAGTGTGACAGAGTCCTCAATAACAAAGGTACAGATCATTTGTTGAGTGTAATGGAGACCAGGGAGGGCTGTCATCAGAAATAAGAATATGTTTTCTGTACATGTCCAACACCATCCTGAGTTGATGGAAGTTTAAACACTTTGGTTGAAACACAAAGTACATATTTCCATAACAATAAGCCAACTCACAAATGTAAATAAATAACTAATTATTTAGTAAATCTTACTTTGTCAGGCATGTTTTCTATTATTGTTAAAATCTATTCCACCCCGGTAGTGGGGTAGGTTGTAACAATGGCACTCTGTATTTGAAACCAAACCATTTAGTGAGTAAGTAGTAAGTTTATACCTATCTGTTATTTGTAACAGAATACAGGTATTATATCACAGCTAGAAAGGTATTCTCTCCTCAGCCCTTTTATTACTATGGAGTGGTGGAAGTTACCGTGTTCTGCAGAGCCTGAATGTCAATTTCTCGCAGCTGTTTCTGTCGGCGAAGCTCATTGAGCTCAGTCCTGCTGCTCTGCAGACACTCAGTGTTCTTCGCCACCTCCACTTTGATGTTGTCAAACTGTAAAAAGGGTGAGAAAGTGTCTCAGAAAAAGCTCCAAATAAAAAGCTTACAGTGAATCTAGCTTTCCTCACAGACAATATTTAAGCTTACCTTGTTTCTGTACCACTCGTCGGTCTCCTCGCGGTTCTTAACGGCCAGCTTTTCATACTGAGCACGGATCTTGTTGACAGTGTCACTCAGATTGGACTGAGAGGAATCTGCTTCGACAGTCACACTGGACTCCTTGATTTTCTCCTTCAGCATAGCGACTTCCTTCAGAACGACGGGAAGAGAAGACTATTGAGTTTTGAGAACTTTGCAGTGGCACACTAAAGTATTTGGATGATTTAACTATTTAGCCAACTTCTGGTAAACTTTGATAAAGTTCTTTACTTTACTTAAACTAAAAGTGAACTTACGTCGCGGTGGTCTTTCTTGAGGTAAGCGAGCTCCTCCCTGGCGGACTCGATCTGACTTTCCAAATTGAGGCGCGCGATCTGCGTGTCATCAATGACTCTCCTCAGCTCGGCTAGCTCGTGCTCCACGCCCTGCCGCGCGATCCTTTCTGCCTCCAACCTGACAAGAAGCATAAAAAAGAAATTTAAGTCAATCGTAACAATCAGGTTTCACACCATTTGTTGATGTAAAGAGGACGTGAACTGATAAATTCGTCTTTTTGTTGTCAGCACTAGCTTGTCACTCCGGGAGCGCTAACGGTCCTACTGGGACCCGGTTGTGCCACAAACTCCCTGACTTGTTATTTTTATTACCTAATGTGCATGCTGGCTTTTATAACTTTCAGAATATAGAAAATACTGAAAAATGGTCGCTACTTGTTTTTGAAGTCTTCATTCGCCAGTTTGCTGTTGTCTATCTGCAGTAAAATGCGGGCGTTTTCCATGGTCTTCTCACGGACCTACAAACATAAAGTAATAGTCAGAAAGTGATTAAGTGAACTTTATATATGAACCCTAATCAATATTTTAGCTTAGCAAGTTAGGTAAAAATGTTGGTCGCTGATTGGTTTCTCACTTCCTTTCTGAGATCAGCCAGCGGTTTCTCTATCTCATCCCAGTCCCGGTCGGCTGTCTGGCCCCTCTTTTCCAAGATCTCTCTGATCTGCTCCTCCAGCTCTTGGTTGGATTTCTCCAGTTTTCGCACTCTGTTCAGGTAGCCGGACAGACGGTTGTTGAGGTTCTCCATGGTCTTCTTGTCGTCGGTGGGTGCAGGACCTGAGGCTCCGCTGCCCGGAGCCTGAGGCTGGCTCTCCGGGCGGAGGGCGTTTCTCAGGTTCTGCAGGCTGGACACGGAGGCCCGGGCGCCCTGACCACCCGCTCCGCCAAACATACTGCTGGCACTGCTGCGAGACATGCTGATGGGGGCTGCGGGGGGGCGAAAGGACAGAGCAGCGTAAAATCACACTCAAGTAAATGTATCGTTACATCAGTGGCCTTGCCTAGCACAAAGCTGGCTTAGCAAAAAACTAGAGTCTTTAAAACTCTTGTTTTTTCCAGTTTCAGCTGACTTACTAGTATATTCTTTCTAAATGTGCAAAATTTAAGACTGTAAATTGGTCAGTTTTGAAGTCATTTTTAGTGGAGAATCAAGTAAATGATTAAACAAACACGGTAACACATAAATCCATGACAGGTCAAAGTGTTGCTACGTAAATAAAATAAGGACTAAAGTGGAAATGAAAGTAGCTAGAAGTTAAAAAACAAAGAAACTATGAAGTATTAGGTGAAAAGTACAGAATTTCCTATCTATCAACACAGAAATTGAGGTTTGTTAGGTGCTGTTCTTCTCTTTTCTTGCTACTCTTGGTCTAGAATAAAATGCTAAAGCTCAAAAGTGAGAGGTGAGAGCAAGTACAGCAGGCCAGGTGCTGAACTAACAGAACAGAATGAAATGAAACGCTAAAGAGCGAACTATGAGCTATATAATTCTTTTCTTACAAATATTCTTGAATATAAATACAAGCCTTACACAGAAAACTGCAAATCCATCTCTTTAGTGCATGGAGCTGAGCAAATGGAACGAGTCAGTACTCACCTCAGGTAACAGAGAAGTGATAGAAAGCAAAGAAGACACAGCCTGGAACTCTGGCCTCTAACCAGCTTTTAGCCTTTATGCCCTGCAATGGGTGTTTTTATACAGAACCATATCTGATTCGTGCAGATGCCACTGGAAAAATGACGCCCACACACCAGTCAAACAGGTTTTTGGGGTGAAAAAACAGGTTCTTATGCCATCCTCTCCACATCTTCCTCAAAGAACATAATTCATGATGGGAGGTCCTTGCTTGCCCTTAATAAACAGGTGCTACTCTCAGTTCCTCTGCACATCCACTCTTCTCTTCTTGAAGCACTTCTCCTCCCAGCAGTTACCTCCAGCACAATGGCTACGAGAAGCAGACCTGGTTTCAGCAGCCAGTCATACTCACCCTCTCCATCCAGGGGCTACCCGAGTATTCCTTCCACCAACCTGGACCCGCTGCTTAACTCACCTCCAGTCTCCAAAGTGGACCCTCTGGACCAGCAAGCCAAGACTAAGGAGAAAGATCAGATGGTTGGACTCAATGACAAGTTTGTCGCATTCATTGACAAGGTAAAGAGACACATTTTTTCCAGAAATTCCATAGAAAGGAACTAAAACATTGTTACAGTTACACAGGGTACACTGTTTTCAATACTTATTTGCTTATTTCAATTCCTTGTTTTTTTTTTCTATGTGTATTTGTTCCACTCAGTTATATCTCTGTCGTTCTGTGCCTCAGGGCTTAACTGGGCAGGTCTGTTAGTGAACTCAAGAGAGGAGATGTGAGGGCTTCCGAAAACAAACAAATAAAGATGCAGTGTCGATCTTGAACACTAGGTGTCGCCATGTCATAAAACATCACTGCTGACAAATTAACATTGAAAGCAAATATGTGTTTAATTTAGGGATGAGCTAAATAAAGTCACTGCACAATGTATCAACTACATCACTGTTCCCATGAAAGGGCCCATATCCTACATATTTGCATTTTGCGTCTGACCATTTAACAGCCTCTCTTTGCTCTTTAGAATTTAGAATCTACTGTGATTAGCTGCTCTGTGTTGTATCTCATTCAAAAAGCAGTCCAGGCTGATAGACTCCTTATACTTTCAAAGTGAATGGGCAGAGCTAAAATGTCATAGGCATATGGGAATGTATTACATGGGAATGTGTGATATCACAAAAACAATGAATTCAACATGGGCTGTTTTTTCTATTGTGCTTTCATAAGTGAATTTTAAAGACTGGGGAGTGTGTGTTTTGATACTTTAACAATGTTTACGTCCTTTATCAAATGTTTAGTGAAGAAAATTTGGTTTTCCATGATATCTGCCCATTAAAAGTGCCATTCACTTGTAAGCTAAAATGCCAAAATGGTACAACTACATTGACAGAGTCGTAACATATTTATTTTTTAGTGACTATGTACGGTAAAGTAATAGTGTCAGAAAGCACTTAAAGCTTGTTTCATTAACATAATTAATGCTGGTTGTGTAGGGCCAGTAACTCTATGTTTGGTCCCAAATAAAAAGGACCCACCTTATAATGTAATCTCAACTAAATCATGTAATTCACATTTTACAGTATTTGTCTTGAACATTAACAACCGTAAATATGTTTTCATGGAAACTCTAGGTTCGTCATCTAGAGGAAGAGAACAAAATCTTAGAAACCCGGCTGAAAATTCTGCTGGAGCAGGATAGCTACAAGGGGAACATAGACGACATTGTGAAAGAAGTAGGAGCAGATCTAAGGCGACAGATTGAGGGGCTTGACCGAGACCGGCAGAAATTAGAGTCCGAGCTGGTGAAGTCAGACGAGGAGGTGAACAACACCCGAGTCAGGTGGGTGCGGGTCATTGACTGACACCTGGGGGGGAGTTGCAAGCGTACTGAGTATTTACAACAGAGTGTTTCAGAGGCACCTAAACAGTTATTTATTTAAGCTTTAGAGAAATCTCAGTTCCTCCTATTCCTGGAAATCCAGATGTCTACTTTATGAGCAGGTGCATAGTGTTGAATGTTGTGTCCACAAGTTTGGTTTCTCCATTTTAAGAACTTTCAAGAGACATGATCTTCCGTAGCAATTACATAAACAATTGCTGTCCAGTGAGCCATGAAAGGAGGGGTTGGGTGCAGAAACACTCTGGTATGTGCTCCGTGTTGGGAGCAGTGCACAGAGCGGCAAGAGCAGGCCAGCATTAAAGCCATCCATCTAGCCTGTGCTTCCGCAGCTTTGGTCTGTTTCCACTCAGTGTTGGCACTGTTTTCTTCCCTTGGCCACAAGGTCAGCACAGCCTCCAGAGCTTAGCAACACTTGCGTCTTTCCTCTGAACTGTCCTCTCAACGTATTCTCCATTTAACAGTTATGAGGATGAGATCCAGAAGAAGACTGACCTGGAAAATGATTTTATTCTCACTAAGAAGGTAAAGAAATTTCATACAGAATATTTCTATTCAAGACTTCTCAGTGTGCCATGGTGAATGCCCCCGCCTGTTACAATGGGCGCTCTTATGTTTCTGTTCTGCAGGATGTAGATGACGGCTATCTGCAGAGGGTGCACCTGGAGTTGCAACTGGAGGACATCATGAGAGAGCTGGATTTCTTAAGGCGCGGATTTGAGGAAGTTAGTGTCATCACAGTGACAATTAGGGGGTTTTATTTTGTTCAATGGCTGTATACCGATTTTAATGTTTACCTGCGTTCATCCTTTCCTTGGTGCTGTGTGCTTGATGGCTGGTCTCTGACTCTCACTCTGCAATAGGAGATAAAGGAACTGCAGTCTCTGATCCGCAATGAGACGGTGGTGATTAAGACCGGCAACTCTCGAAACCTGGACATGGATGAAATCCTGAATTCAGTCAAGGCCCAGTATGAGGACATGGCTGCTCGCAGCCGGGAAGAGGCTGAGCAGTGGAACAGGAGGAAGGTCAGTGAATTCCTGGCCATGACCTCACTCTGAGAGCGATCATGCATAATAGGCTTGATATTTCAATGTTTTTGGAGTTCACTGGGTTTTTCCAGCTTTGTGAAGTGCTCAGTTCTGAAACGTAATACTACAGTATTAATACTACAATGTAATGTGACAAGCTGTGGTTGACTGGTGGTTACCCACACATCGCTAGGTCTGGATAATTCAAGTCCAAAAACATTGTCAGTTCATTGTCAGTAATCTATTCCAGACCTCCTGCAATAGATTACTGCTGATACATCCCATAGAAGCCCTTCAGCAATATCCTATAGATAAAAATTACTTTTACAAATAGGTTATGGACATGTATGTTATGTGATTCCACAGATGGATGACATGGTGCTAAAAGCAGGGAAGCACGAACAAGATGTGAAAGAAATCAGAAAAGAGATCTCCGAAATCCAGAGAAGCATTCAGAGGCTCATCGCAGAGATTGAAGCCCTCAAGAAGAAGGTATAACTCTTCATAACAATGGCTTTAATTTTCAAGTGCCATAATTGTAATCAGCCAATATTCATTCCTTACGTGACCATTTACCAGTTTATTTTTATTTTTTCCAATTAACTTGCTGTCCAAGTAGACATGGACTGCATTTGGATGCTGTTTGTACACATTCGCAGGCCACCAGCCTGTGTTTAGTGTGTTTTGTAACCTGCAAAGTGTGAAATTTAGGTAAAAAAACAAATAAATACAATTTAAAAAGAGTTGTTGATTTTGCTGCCTGTTGCAGTAATACACTGGCCAGTTAAAACTGGACTAAAAACATGCCATCAGCAAAAACAATCCGCAAAAAACAAATTTGGCTATAAAGAAGTAAGCCATATATATCCACAATGGTGCACCTCTACCAGAAACCCAAAGTGTCTTTTTCTGTCTCTGTATTATCCACATCATTGATTCAAGGTTAGCTTTTGTTTGCTTGTTTCAAATTTGTTCCTGCATATCCTTTGAAGAAAATCAGTCTGGAGGATGAAATAAGGAACTCAGAAGTGGGCGGGCAGCAGGCTCTGGACGATGCTCGGGAGCAGATTGCTCAGCTTGAGGATGCGCTCCGCAGGGACAAACAACTGATGGCACGGCAGGTGCGCGAGTATCAGGAGCTCATGAACCTCAAGCTGGCCCTGGATATTGAGATCGCCACCTACAGGAAACTTCTGGAAGGAGAGGAGATGAGGTACAGTGGTTTTTGAACAGGTCCACTGGGCTGTATTGGACTATTTTTTTGTTTTGGCATGAATGGTTTATACTGTCTGTCTGAGCAGAGTTCTCATTTTTCTTCTTGTTTCACCTATAGATTGGCTGAGCATCGGCGTGATCAGCTTGGTAAGAGTTTTTTTTTTCTTTTAACTATTACTACCTCTTCTTTACATTGCCACGCATGCGTACACATCTTCATTTAATTAAATTAACATTTTTAATCACATTTTTAATCACATTCACACAGCTACGTCACAAATCCAGATCCGGGGCGTAGGCTGTGCTATGCCACTGTCACGCTAAAGTAAACTTGTCTCATCTTTTGCTCAGATTTCTAAAATCAAACCAAAAAACCATCCCCCGTCCTTGCTTATGCAGACGTCAAGGCCCCAAAGTCCTGGTCAAGTGAGGTGCCTTCACAAATCTACTCTCCTGACGAAGCCAAGTGCCTGATTATAAAAATTGAAGTCAAGGATGGCCACGTGATCTCTGAGAGTTCACAACTTCTTTAAGGATTCTGCTTGCTGCCACAGTACTGATATTTGCTTTAAAGCAGTGGTATTTAACCCCAGTCCTTGGTTGACTCTGCAGATTCTGTAGTGTCTTCCCTTCATTTATAAGCCAGATTTAATTAAATAAGATTCTGAGTAATTGGATGATGAATTGAACTAGGAGCAAGATTTAACAAACTGTATAATAGGGCTGCACAATACGCCATTAGTTAACCATTATTGTAATATTTACTTTTGCAGTACTGGTATAGCAGAAGGCTACAATATGCAAAAGCCCTTAAACACATCACATTTCCAAGATGACTGCTTATGTATTTTGATTAATCAAGGTATGTAATCCAACAAGTGGAAATTATAGGAATGTAGGTTAATCTTGCATTTTAATTTACTAATGCTGTTTAGTATTCCCCACAAAAATGAAAACATGTTTTCAGAAACACAAAAACTAAGTAAAGACAAAATTGTCCACAGGAAAACTAAACAGAAATACTGAGAAAAAAAAGTTTTTTTATTGTACCCTTATCAGCTACCTACTATTACAGCATTAATCATAATATTTAAAACTAAAACTGAAATTAAATGAAAACTAAACTAAAACTATTGCTTTTCCGAAAAATACCTATTCATACAGGCTTAAAACTAACAAACTAAACTGAAATCAAAAACCAAAATCAAAAACTAAATAAAAAAACAAACAAATGAAAGTTTCGAAACTATAACAACCCTGTCTACCCTCTTAATAACCCCACTACCCTCTTAGGTCTGGGTTTCAGGAGAGCCATTGGTGACCCTATACCTCTTTACTGCACCATGTCTTTTTGTTATTTCCTTACCATGTTCTTTGTTTGGTGAATGTAAAAGCAACATATACTTGAATGTCCTTAGGGAAATAAAAGGGAACTTTTACTCCTAACTATACAGCTGTGTGTCTTTTTTGTTCTGTTTATGTAAGCAATGATCTCATGGTGTAGGTCCTGGTCTTTGTCAGTCTGTAACAGTATAGGCATACAGTGTTTCCTAGAAACACTACTATACCTGGCTTTTTAAAAATCTTACTGAACATTCACTGTGAATGTAACTTGGAGGCCTAGACATGTTTGTTTGTGATTAGGAGGGTGATAGGGGAAGGTCTGTTTTAGAATACAGCACATGTACTTGGCTCTCAAACAGTGATATTGAGACCTGGAAAGAAATAAAACGATGAAGATGACAATTTCAGCAGCAAAATGTCTGGGACTACAGCCAATTTCACCCCACAACTTCACTTGCTCGCATACTTGCTATCACGCTTATGCCTATAAATATGAAATGACTGGTTTGTGATGCACCCCAGCACAAGTTTTGCAGGATTTTAGTATGCATTGTAAAATAGAATATAAAAAGAAATAGATGTTTCTTCCGGATTCAAACATCACACAGATTGAACAGCCCGTTAGTCAGTTTCATCGTTTTGGGCTTGCAAACGCTCTTTTAGAGCTCTAATTATTCACTTTGTCTTCCAGATGTCCAACATCATGTTTTGACTTAATTTGCAACGGAATGCAGACCAAGATGTTTGGTTTATTCCATAAGTTAACTCAACCATTAACAAGTTCTAAAAGTTTTGAAAGGAGACAATCTTATTTTGCTAATCACACAATGGAAATGGTTAATTACTCAGCATAGGAGACTCTATTTAAAACTGTTTACACAACCCCCTTCAGCATTTTAACTTACTGTGTCTTTTTGTCCTGCATGAAGTGTTATGTAAGTGTTATGAGAAATCCTCATCACAGGGTCACCCTAACTGAAATCAGGCCCCCTTCAGACAATCTTAGATTTGCTTAATACTTAAAGGAAATATCACTGTACCCAATAGATAGTGTGCAGAAATTTAGGCTTGTATCGTCTTTGGCTTATGAGATGCAGAGGCTTTAAAAGTGAGTATGGCCTTAATTTTTGTTTTTTAATTTGACAAGTCATTGGTGTAGAGACAGAAAAGGCCAAATTTGCTCCAGTACATTTTCTAAATATTAAGAAATATGAGATATTGAGTAAGTCATTAAAAATGTCTCTATCTTTTATGCTTTGGTAGTTGAGGTAGAATTTCATTCTTCAAAATTTCTGTGTATTTCTATTGTTGAGATGTAAACAAAGAGGTTCGATGTGAAATGATCCATTCCAGAGAAACTTACTGACTGAGATTTCTTGACAGTGATGGGCATAGGATCCAGGGGTCTCAATTTTCTACAAAAATGCAGTAATTTTATTTACAATCCGAAAAGACCAGTGAACTTACACGTGTCTTCTAAGTTTATTACAAGCCCAATTCCAAAAAAGTTGAGTTAGTAGGTAAAATGCAATAAAAAAACAGAATGCAGTGACTTATAAAACTACTTTGACCCGTTTTTGAACAAAAACAATACAAAGACAAGATATTTCATGGTTTATCTTATCAATTTCACTGTTTTTCTGTAAATATACACTCTTTCTGAAATTGATTCCTGCAACTTGTTCTAAAAAAGCTGGACAGAAGCTAATTTAAGATTAAGAATATTATAAAATGTTTAAAAACATCTTAAGCAGGTAATGCAATCATGCTTGAATTTAAAAGGAGCACCCAGGAAAGGCCAATTCCTTTGTGAGCAAGGATGGGTCCAGGCTCACCACTTTGCCAAAAATGAGCAAAAAATCCACATAACGTTCCTCAGCCAGGGATTGCAAGGACTGTAAGTATTTCACCCTCTACAGTGCATAATATCATCCAAAGATTTAGGGAATCCAGGGAAATCTCTTTGTGCGACCATTTAGACCTCACTGCGTTAAAATCCGTCATGTTTCTGTGATGGATATCACCACATGGGTTCAGGAATACTTTGAAAAATTCTTGTCAATAAATACCGTCTCTCAACTGCCCAACTACAAATTAAGACTGTACTATGCACAGTGGAAGGTTATTAGTGGGTAACCTGCACATACGTGAAGGGACCATTACCACTGAACACAGGCCCTGTACAGTTGCACAGCTGAACACTTGTATACCAAAAGAATGGGAAAAATTTTGCTTTCAAAACTGGATCAGTTTGTGTCTTCAGTCTCCAACTGACTATTAAAGGCTGTTAAAAGGAAATGTGATGTAACAGAGTGGAAAAACTGCTCCTGTCCAAACTTTGTTAGAACATTTGCAGACATCAAATTTGAGCATATATTTATTAAAACAAAGTTCATAAGGTAAAACAATATAAATAGTTTTCAATGAAATGCAGGTCAAACTGAATCACTGCTTTCTGTTTTTATTAGTATTTCCCATACTGTCCTAAGTTTTTTGAAATAGGGTTTGTACATGTAATGTTGGGAAAATACTACTTTTAAATTGAAAACTGCAAGCATTATGGCCACACCCACTTTTTAAAGACTCAAAATGCTATTATTTCCTGTGTGAATTAAGCAAATGTGAGATGATCTTTTCTGAAATCTGGAGATTTGAAAGGGAATAAACCAGCAAGAAAGTATCAAGCCTCAAATCTTTTCAGTGAAATACAGAGGAGTATAACTCAAGTCTACAAAACAATTCACATATAATCTCTGTAGATCACTCTGCTCATTAATATATTGATATCCAATAATCCAGTGCCATCCACTGTCAATGCCCAGTTTTAACTGTGAAACATCTGAAGGTTAACATCCCTTTGTTGCTGCGTCCTGTGCCAGCGGTGCCACACCTTGCGCAACAGTCTCCTGGCAGGGTTGGTGTACTCCCTGTTGGCAAGACCCAAGAGGAGTGGCACTGTGGACATGCCACCCACACCAGTGCAAGAGAGCACAATGTGGGCAGTGCGGTTGACCTGTGGTTCATGATTCTGCAGGAAGACCATGCACAAATGTGTGTAGACGATGTACGGCAACCAGCAGGCAAGGAAGGCCAGGGAGACAGTGGCCACGCAGCGAGCATAGCGCAGCTCCAGCTTGCGCCGCTGCTCTGCGCTGTTCACGGCCCGCTGCTGCCGCTGAATGTCCCTCATCTGACCCCGTGTGATCCACAGAACCCGGCCAGTCATGGCAGCAATGGAGACAATGGCAGGCACCAGCAGGCCATAAACCTCCAAGTAGATGAAGGTATCTGGAAAGACATTATGGTATATGCAACAGTTGTCTTTAGGTATGGCCACAGGACAGCCGGGGTGGACTGTGTCATTGGCTGCAGGACAGCAACCACTGCCGACCTTGTCAAGCCCATACCTGTTGTTCCAGCCAAAAGCGGGCAGCAAGGCATAGACCAGAGGGAGCAACCACACGGCCAGCAGGGCTGGAACAAAGCGGCTACGTGGCCAGAAGTGGCCTGGTAGCAGCGGGCTGACAATACTCAGGTAGCGCTCATAGTATACCAGCACCAGGTTAAAAATAAAGGCCAGGAATAGGAAGTTGGGGAAGATGTGTACCATCAGGCAGGAGGAGAAGCCAAGAGGACGGATCAGGCTCATCCAGGGGATAAAGGGCAAGGCCACGCCCATGCACAGATCAGCCACCAGCAGGCTCAGGTACAAGTAGTTACGGGGGTTGTGGAGCTGGCGAGTACAGGCAATGCCCAAAATGATCAGTAGATTGGCCAGGATGATGGTGGCGGACAGAGGCAGAGTGATGGCATAGATCAGCTGTGCTTCCTGTCCGTTGCTCCTCGTGTCGTTGCAAACCATGGTGGTCATTGTACATGCTTCCCGTTACTTCTACATCATCTTGCAATGAGAGGTCCACCCTGCATAGATACAAAGGGAAATATTTGGATATCATTGCTATGCTCTTGCTATGTTCTTACTGCAGTCAGAATGCACAGTAAAGCAACCAGGACTTCAAGAAAAGCCTGTTTGATTTTCAAAGGGACTCAAATTCAACCACTGATACATCTGACATGAACATGCCTATTCGCCTCTTGCATCACTGATGCAGGCTTTAAAGCAGGGGTGGGACTGAGGACCTGAGTCCATTCCAGTTTGCTGATTTCTTTGCACTAATACAACAACTAATCTTAGTAGTTAACTGAGGAGTTCAGTCAGGTGTGTTTACTCACTATTTTTAGTATTATTCACTATTTAAAGCTACACTATGCAAGATTTATGTGTTAAAATTGAAAAAAATCACATTATTGAGTCAAAAATTGCTAACATATGCTGGTCTTGTCTTGCTGTTAGTCTACCCATGGAAACAACAGCAAAATTAAAATAAAAATGTAACATGCAAAACGGAAATGTATTTGTATGTTTCCTTTTGAATTTCCCACTCCTATATACAATGTTGAGCTCAAAATGAAAATTCAAATTCAATGCTGTGATTTTAATTTGCCATATGGTATAGTATTGACATTTCATATACACAAAGATTTAGATGCTTTATGAGTAGATTTATTTAAATTGAAATGTATTTCCAGAACTGCATATTTATGTTTAATGTGATTATGCAATAACTGTGTCAAAATGATAAATAATGTAAGTTATTTTATATGCACTTTCACTCTCTAATAATGCCTTTGCATTGCATTGTCAAAGAGAACACCAAGCTAGAAAGATTCAAATGTACATGGGAAACAGCGCTTCTCCTCTTGATAAGTATATACTGTCGCCTACTGTGCTCATTCTTTGTCAAAATTAACATTAATCCAGCATTGTGGGCTATTTTCTACTTTATACAGTGAACATCAGATGTGGTGGATACAGTGTTGTGTTTCACTTTATCTGTTACCAAAAATTTACTTATAAAATGATTTAGTTGTAATTGTACTGGTACACATAGACGTAAAAATTACACAACCACCTTGCGTTAGCAACAGCCGCTGCACCATGTCGGTGCCGCCTAATATTGCAACCAAATTCAGTGCATTCCTGCTTTTCTTTTTAAAATGAATATTACAAAAATCACATGTGTGTGTGACACAGTGGGCTGCTTAATGTTAGCCAGCTGATAAAATCAGCTGCAATATTCATTCAAAAGTCGGAGCTGCTGTTTCAGATTTGTTGGGGGCTTTTCAGACCACATCAGACGTCTATATGTATTGATGTCAGAGAGCAAGCAATTTTTCTCTCTTGTCCACTTCGTGTTGAATAAAGACAGGCATATGCAGAGTGCAGTGAGTCTATGTGTGTAAATAAGTACAAAGATACAGAACTTAAATGTTCCAGTTCAACTTTTGCATCTTTGTAGTCTCCACACCTAGATATGCCACAGTCAGGCATTTTCAAACTGAATTATGTCTTTAAGGAAAGGTCTTGTCCCACAGCTGGTGCGACTGTGGCAAGCGCTACAGGCCTAACAATGATGCTAACTATTAGCTGTCTATTATTAGACAGTTGGCAAACTAGTGGCCAGCAGTTAGGACTGGTTGATTGCAGAAGGGGTTTTTCCTTTGGTCATATGACGTATGCATAATGCATGTTAGGTGTTCAAAGAAGAAAACACTGATGGATGAAAATACAAACAAAATCATGGAGTCCAGCAAAACTTTAAGGCTGTGAGATACCATTCTGTGCTACAGACCACTGCATTCAGTCCGAAAGAATGCTTTTACTGTTGTGTTATATGCAAGTCATACATGTTTTGTTGATTTTCTAAGTAAATAAGCAGAGACCTCACTTTTGTACATTTAAATATGACTATTTAGATGCTGAATTTGAATTTTAAGCTGCACAATGTAAGATTTTTTTTTTTTTGTTAAAACTAAAGGAAGGGTGGCCAGTGCTATCCTAGCATGAAGTATAGGCCCCTACTGGTCACTCTATTATGAAAAGTAAGACATGCTACTTATGCATGTTGCCTCAAACTATACATTTCCACTACAGAGGTCTCCAAATCCCCAAATCTCGCATAATGCAGCTTTAACATAGTGGCAGGGGTCATAAAATGTGGCCTGTGCAAAACTTATTGTACACTTTATATTTTATGGTTTTTCCACATATGTTAGTAAATAAATAGAAACTAAAATTTGCAATACTAATGTCATATTTACATTTGTTCCCTGTACAGGATGTTTTAACTTTTTTTTACTTAGAAAATCAACAAAGCAAATCAACAAATGGAATTTGACTGGGGGGGTGCTTTTGCATACAACTGAAATGACAAATAACAAAATAAATGCTAGTTTTATATTGGAACTAAAAATCTAATGCTGCTAAAGAAACGTCATGGAAGTTTATGCCCCACCAATTTGCATTATGCAAACTGCATGCCGCACTATGACCATAAACAGTCCTCAGTTGTTCAGTAATCTCCAACAGACTTGCTTATGTACTTCCAGCATGACAGTTATCCATAAAAATGGACAAAATTATGGATCAAATTCAGGCTGCTGCTACTGTGCTTAGCTATGTGACACTCATTTTAATAGATACAATTAAATAGATGAAAAAATGAGAATTTGGATTATGGTACAATTACGTTCCCTGACTAAGATGAGATGCCCCTACTGAGATGTACCTTTGAGGGTCCCACCCCAGTGACAAGAGGGGTACTGCCTCAGTGACAGTTTAATACCTTTTTTCTGAAAGCGCAGAAGTTATGATCAGCTTTGTGTTTCAATGAAATATGATCTGACAGAATGACAGAGGGAGCAATTATAACGAAAAGTCAAGGCATTACAAGAGACATGATTTATAATCAAACTAAAGTTGGTTAACGAGCTACAACACACACAAAAAGATAAATGACGACCAATAATGTTGAGACAGTTTACTTAATTAATGCTTCATGATAGCTCTGTGGCATAACTGTGACATGTAAACATTTAGAAATGTAACTACAGCTATGTTGTCGGACAGGAAAAGAAAACAACTTTTTAAAAAAGCTAGGACACGTTTGATGCATTTTGACAAGATTATATGCGTTTGTGGTAGAACATTGCTGGCTTGTCTTGAATTGCAGTTGGAGGCAGCTGCATACTGAAGCTGCATACTGCTTTCCTTAAAGTCAAAAAATTCAAAGGGAGCAAGTAACCAAATAAGTGCAGAATATGTGATACAGTACAAAAACCTCTGTGTGTTTTTGTTCAGCAGTGATACAGGCAGCCTTGTCAGATTGATCTGGCTTGTAGACCACACACTGTGCGTGGATCTTTGAATTATCTACACAGGGAAGCTCTGATGTTACATATCTCTCATTCTGTTTTTCCTTCTGACATCTCTGGCATATTGTGCATCTCTGATCAACAGTCAAGCTCCATAAACTCATGAGCAGCTCTAGAAGTTTAAAAATATATAAAAAGTAAAGAAATTCAATGTTTGCTGATTTTCTAAGTACAAATAAGTTAACACATCATCTTCAGAGAACACACTCCTGCACATTTTAATGTAACATACTGGAAAATAAATAAAACATAAAATGTGCCCTGTGCAAAAGTAATGCTTTTCCCATAAAAATCCACAAAACGTCATTTTTTACAGGGATATTGAAACTTTTGCACACAGCTGTATATGTAGTGCCTTGGATGTCATTTTAATAGCACCATCATGGTGGTTATAAATTGTGAGTGTTTATGTCTTTGGAAACAAAACTTTCTTTTTGGTCTTCATTAAGTTATGAAATCCTGGTTTTTCAGCAGTGTTAGTGGACATCATATCATTGGTGAACCTGCAACTTGTTTGTTTAAAATGTAGTAAAGGTATTTCAAAGTGTCCATGACATCAATACCATGTTTGTTAAATATTGCAGTATACCTTAATATTGAATATCAGAATATTAAGATGTTTTATGCAAGCCAACACTGGGCTCAGCTGCATAAAACACCTTAAGTATTTATCTTAAAGTAAATGTTTTAGGGATACAATTAAATCTGTAATTTTAAATGAAAAATTCACAACTGTCAAAAATCAGTGCTGAAATGTGGGGTTTAAAACCCAATTATCAATTTGGGTTTTTTCACTTTCCACTTTGCACCAGGATTTTACACTAAGCTCAGTTAAAGTAAAGGGAAAAGTTATTTTATGCAAGTGACACTGGGGTTATTGTTTGTAAATAGGTAAGTTTGACAAGTAATGATTATATGTAAACTACGTTACATATGTAGGCCTCAGATGACAAAGTTCTCCAATAGTTGTGTAACTTCACTGTTGCAAATATTCAATATTCAAAATTTTGGTCAAACTGCATGTTCAGTTGTGACAGTAAGTTAACGCATCGTTTACAGGGAGCAAACTTTAATATGGCATTTTTCTGCCTCTTTTAGTGCACGAGCCATATCTTATGTTCTATTTTTTCCAAATATGTTCAGTTCAGCAAATGAACAGTAACTGCACCTTAAAGTGTGCAGAAGTGTGTTCTCTATAAAGAATGTATTAACTTATTTTCAGTTACGAATTCAGCAAAACATGTCCTTCAGCCAAATCTTTGCATACAACTGTATCCTAGTTCATTTCATTTAACTAATATTGCATCTATTTCCATTTGACAATGAAATGCAAGGCACAGGGAACCATGTAAACATCTAATTACAGTTTCTGAGAAATGGTTCGTGTGTCACTACCTGGGAGAGTGGACATCAAAACGATGTAAAACCTATTCCTCATAAACAGCCCATTTGCCAGGTTTATAGCAGCCATGAAAAAGGAACTCATAAAGCATAAATCCTCCTCTGTATTTACAAACACTTAACCAAATGTCACCCCTTTGGAACGTATTCCAAAAAACAAAGAAGGAGATAAGGATAAAAACTTACCTTTTTCATGTGAAGCATACAGCAGTGGACAAAAAACCCCAAGAAACCCATCAGCTCTTCATTACCATGGAGACTAGTGTGGCAGGGGTCAGGCAAGAAGGTCGTACACCAGCCATCAGGCAAGCCAATACAGAGACTACATTTGTAAAGTCCTCCTTTTCTTCATGTTAGGTTTTCTTTTCATCCTGATGCTGCTGAATCCTTTTTTTGCCACAAGCAGACAAAAGCTGCAGTGAGGATAGCACTCAGAGAGGAAGCACTCAGCAGGCAGAGCAGACTGTGAAGTGGATGTGTGTGAGCGGACCTACAGAGGATGAGCAGACTTGTGAATTAAAGTGAAACTGCTGGAGGGTGCCTGTATATGATACACTAAACACATTTGTTACCTGACGCTTTTGCAGTGAACTCTGCCCGAGACCTTTAAACTACCGTAAACCAGATGCTGCAAAAGAGGAAAACATACAGGTTTAAAATGGAATTTAGAAGAGCATTTTTCCCCTCTGTGAGCAACATGGTACATTAGAGGTCGAGCAGCCACAGTTCACAGTCCAGAGATGTTTACACAGTCCATTGTCACCGTTTGTTATAACTTACATAACAAAAGACTTACAACCAGAGACCTTCACCAAATCATTCTCTAAACTATTCTCTAAACAGCTCTCGTATAAACCAACAGCCCAATGAAAACGTTGCCAATATGTCTCGGTTTGGAGAATATGTATTTGCAAAAGATGGTCAAACAAAAGTGTCCACAGGAGATTTTCCTCATAATCATCTCCACCATCTGCAGTTTCACTGTCATTAGATAGTAAATAAAGCAGATAGTATCTGCAAGAGGGCCGTAAGACAGATGCTTCAACATTCAAGGGAGTAACTGAAGAGGGCTCATAATAATGTAGGGCTCCCATGATTAATCGATTAACCTTCGTTACTCTTTCTAAAAAGGAACCGATCAAAATTGACCTTTTTAATGAATCAACAACAAACAGTTGAGGCAGTTTGAAAGAATAACACAAATTCAAAATTCGTAGTAAGAAACACATTCATTTCATTCATTCACAGCACATTTTTGGTTTTATATATTCTTAATACAAGCTACTAGTTTTTAACTTCTATTTGTTTTTCTTGTTTTTTCCCAACTTAAGTATTCGGTTTTCTTTAAAAGGCTATGAATGAGATGCTATTGTTCAATTGAGCCCATCTTTATTTACTGCCATTTAAAAACATATATGAAAAATATATAATCAATAGTGAAAGCATAATATTTTAACACTTTTTTCTTTACTGTTCCTATTTACATGTGGTTTACTTAAACTTTCTTTTTTACCTTTTTAGTTCATGTCCCTGACCATGATGAGCACGAATCATCATTTCATATCATTTAAAAGACAAAAGTTGTCCTTCAAAGGCAAATTTTGGCTGCCTCTAAAATGGCTTCTGAGTTGTGATTACATCACTGTGCACCAGCAGGAAGAATAATACTAACCAGATATGTCATGTTTCACCTTCCACTCCCACCTATTGTCGAACAAAAACTGTCTGATTCAGTAACAGTACAGAAGGAAATATGATGTCATTACTGAATGATGCAGACTGTAATGGCCAACTGATAACTGGGGCAGTCAGTAGTGCTGTTTGCTGTCAAATTGCACAAGCTGGTTAGTAAAACTACCAGTTAGGGCTGAAGAGACACAAATACAGTCCTGTGCAAAAAATGGGCCAAGCCCAAAATATAACAGTTTTTACTGATGGTTTTGGTCCAGATTGAGTCCAGATTTAAACCCTAAAGAGAACATTTGCTCTCACATTAAACACAAACTAGCTTGACAATGTTTTTTAACTGTTCGAAGCCATCAATGCTGAGTGGAACAATCTTGACCCCTTTCTGTAAAAGGCTGTCTGCAAGTTTACCCACAGGACTTCAGTGAAAGGCTATTCCATACTAACTGACTTTGTTCCTTTGCTGACTGATTTGTTAAGACCATTAAAAGCTTAATGTTTTGCTTGGGCCTTTTTTGCATAGGAGTGAACTAGAAGCTAGATCAATAGGCTTGTGAAACTTGGGTTCCATGTGAAGTAGCACTAATGCAAACAAAGAGTGGTAAAACTTGACAATACCTCAAATTAAGTGCACCTTTACAGTATTTCTGTGAAACAAACACACATTTCATTTTACCTTTAAGCAGGACTGACTGACATTTTTAAAGACTAATCCAGGAGTCTATGGTAAGCATTTGTTTTTTTTTCTGTAAGCACAAGCTTAATATGAACTTTTCAGTATTTCTGTATTTATTATGTCCATGTCTTGAAGTTTCTTTCATTTCATTTTGTATTCCTCTCTTTTATCTATTTAACACAAAGTATATGAGTTTGTTCTTATAGGTCTGTTTGCTGGACAGCCATTTTGGCTGTAACATAATAGTTTTACATTTACTGAAATAGCGTTATACAATATAATGCAGTTATTTGGAATCTAGACATTTTGAGAACTAAATGATAGATAATATTGTTAACATAGCTAATTCTGGAATTTAAAAATTGTCAATGAGCTAAGAGCTGTTTAAGGGCTAAAGGAGTCGGTTCTCATTGGTGAGCTGAGCTCACTTATCTGAATCGAGAGAAAAGAGCCGGGATGGCCATCACTAGCTGTGTGATTGTGCAGCTGCTTTCCACTGCATTTTAATTTGAGACATACTGTGAGATCATATTGGCGCAGATTCTGAAGGTCCACCTGATTTGAGTTCATTTGCTTAAAAACAGGCTTTTTTCCCCTTTTACATACACAGTTGTGGTGTATGTAATTGCATGATGACGCAGAGCAATTACACACATCCTCGAACAAACAAGGTGTTCAGAGTTTGGGTCAGGATCAGGTTTGTTGACCTTTGTGTTTTTTTAATTAGTTTGTCAATGCAGCCTTGGCTTTGTGAGGAAAATGAAATGTCAATTACAACCCAAATTTGTGAACATTTATGTGCAATCAGAAATAAAGATGAGAGATCTTCAATAGCCAGACACTTTTATGAAGTAGACCATGGTGCCAGTTGCTTGTGTTTCATTGGCTTGGAAATTGTGAATCAGTTGCTGAGGGCTGGAGCTTGTATAAGAGGCTTAGAACATTTTCACGCTGAATACAGTGACTCGATGTGGCATGGCTGAGGATTTTTCCTTTACTTGTCTTTTATCATTTTTTGAGTATCTTATGTATATTATTATTATTATTATAATTACTTTTTGAGTAAAAATAGATTATTTTGTTTTTTTTTTTTCATTTAACTTATTTTGTCGTTTTAGTTTCCTTTGATTTATATTGGAGATGGTTGATAATGGGTCTTGTTGATACTTGTGGCTCACCTCAATGACATCAGGTAGAAAAAATACTATGTTGAATACAATCCTAAGTTGACTTAAGTAAATGTATAACAGAAGATGCTCCCATAAGTGCTTAAAGTAAAAAAAATAAAAGAAAGGAAGCAGAGTGTTCTCTATTCAGTGTTAATTAGTCCACAACCATGACTCTGAACATAAATGAATAACAGTTTATCCTAGACTTGCATGCATCATCTGCAAAATCATGCATTTTAATAATTTATAGATTTTAATATCAGGGTTTTTTGCTTACTGTTTTTTGTTGTTATTATTTTACTGGCATATACCCAGAATTGTCTTTTGAAACAGCTTGGTTAAATAGTTGTTGTAAGTAAGGTGCTTTTCTCACATTCTGTGTAGCTGTGGAAGCAGCTACACAAATGTGCCGCAGCATATTTGTAAATCACAAAACTTGCCCAATTTCCTAAGAGTTTGGTGGAAAGAGTGAATTATTACTCATTTCTCAAATCAAAGACAAAAAAGAAGCTGTGTAAGATCTCAGTTAATGTGTGGAAGAACACATAACGCATTGTTAAAACATATTTTGCTGCTATTGAAGCTAGCATTAGCATTACTATGACAAGTGAGTTTGCAGCCAGCCAACATGGGACCCCCTGAATACCAGGGAGTATTTCAACCACTCTGAATAAGTATTACAAGGACACCTTACACAGTTTTAATTCTCAAATCTAGAGCAACATACATACTCAAGTTCACCTCTGATGACAAGACGTTGCAGTATTACTTTTTGTCATTATTATTGGACAATGTGACTTTTTTTTTCTTTTAATGATATTTTGGAAATGTCATATTGAACAAATTTAATCTATATATCTATCTAGGACAAACCTAGAGTTCTTAATGAAGTAGCGTGCTTAATGAACTAGGTTATAAACACATGTAAACTATACTGCATAAACAGTTGGCTATAGTGATTAAACAGCAGTCATTTTTAAGATTCATTTTGGTTGAAATGTCAACAGATTTTATATAGTTTATATAGAGTATTTTGAACCTACCAAAATTTTACTTCTTTATCTCAGGGATGTAAGTTCTGACTCAAACTCATAGTGGTGACTTCTCTTGGTGTGACTAGAATGCTATTAGCATGCTGAGGAAGGCTGTGCACCAAAAGGCAGCTGTGCTTAATCTGAGTTTAATAAATGTTTTGTTTATTATTTGTGTGCTGTCTGAACAGTTTCTATTTTTTAACTTTTGAAGTTAAAAGGTTTTCTGTTCTGTAAGAGGGCCGTTTAGCTGCTGCTTGTTTTGCTTAGCATTAGTTTTGGTAGCCTGTCTAAATGCCAGTGTGAAATCAACACTATTGGCTTTAATTTGGTGGTGCTGTATTGGCTAATAATATTGGGCAGTCCACTGCAAATACATAAATGAGTCTGTCATTGGTGATGGCACTGCATGGCATTTTTTTAACCCATGAGATTTACACTCATTGCTGTGAGACCACCAACAGAGTGAAAACTTGGACTTGAGCTCAATATGAAGCAAACAAAGGTCATGTATAACAGGAAAGCCAACTAACTTTACCATTAAATGAATGTAGGGCTATTTTGTTCCTCACTCAACACATGTCTGTGATAAGTAGCAATGACTGTAAAGTTGGCTTTGACATTAACAGCAGTAGCCAATACAGAGTGGATGCAGAAAACAAGACCAAATATGATATGATAAAAATATAACATCAGAATACTTTTCAAGGCAATAGATATGCATACTGTGGAATACAGTGAAAACAATCATCAACACAAATATGGCACCACAGTGCCTTGACCAGGTATAGGACTCTCTCCAAATGATGGCTAAACTATAGCAACATTAAAGAAGATGCAGGAATCTCTGACATGTACTGATTGCTTCCTACCTGTGACAACAATGTCCTGTATTTTTTATGTTTGGGCTATGGGAAGGGTGGCAAGACAGAAGTCTTTCTCATGGAGGAAAAAAGGAAGAAAGAAATCATAGCCAGGCTAAATTTTGCACAAAGATACATCCAGTTTTCCAAAACCATGTGGAAAAATGTTTTGTTCTGATGAAACCAAGGCTGAACATTTTGGCCATAATTCCAAAAGATATGTTTGGCACAAAAATAACAGTACATCACCAAAAGGACACCACAACCTCAGTGAAGCATTGTGGTGGTGGCAGCATCATCCTTTGGGGCTGCTTTTCTTCAGCTGGAACTGGGGCTTTAATAAAGATGGAGGGAATCATGAATAGCTCCAAATACAAGTTGATTTTGGCACAAAACATTCAGGTTTGGAAAGCTAAAGATGCTGAAAAGCTAATGCTGAAGGGAAATTTCACCATTCAGCATCACAACAACCCAAAGCGCACATTCAAATCAAAGAAGGAATGGCTTCTTCCAAAGAAGATCAAAATTTTGGAATGGCCCATCCAGAGCCCAGAAGTGAAAGTATGTGAACTTGTACGTTTTGTATTTTTCCTTTTTTTCAACCCTGAAGCATTCTTATTGTTTTTCAAGTTCTGACATGATTTATGTTGGTTTCATTTTTACATCACAAAACCTGCTACTTTTTACAGGGGTGGGTAGACATTTTTATATTCACTGTATAAAATGGCTAACAGAGGTATTTCTGAGAAGATGCAATATACGATAATCCTCCTGCAGGGAATGTGAAAAGAAAATAAGTGAAAAGACAGAAGCTTCCAAAATTGGAGTTCAAAAAATGGGACTCCTAACAACCATGCAAGACCTGGTAGACCACCAAAACTGTCAACATCAGATAAAGAGTACTTAAAGTTTTCATCTATGAGAGAGAAGAAAAAAAATTGTCCATCCTTCCACTGTGAGAAGACAACACTACGAGTCTGCAAAGATATGTAGCTGTGTAGCGCCAAAACTGGACATGTGGAAACATGAGAGTAGGTTTTATGAACTTAATGAGTCTCAATTTGTAATTGGAATTCCCTGGATCTCAAGAAGTAGAAAATGCAACCAACTTCTAAGACTGAACTTTGGACATTGGAAAAATGTCAATGCCAATTTGTTTCGAAAACTGAAAGCAAGGCAAAGTGTGCACACAATGTATAGCTTTGAAAAAAAAATTTAGTTGCTGAGGCTTACTGTTAAATATTGTGTCTAACTAAATAACCTGCTGTTCTGACTGAAAAAAGGGTAAATGAAAAGCCATTTCTGATTTTTGCACAGTAATGTAGACTTTCTATAATTGGTCTGAATCTATCTCTTTATTATTATACAACCCCATTTCCAAAAAAGTTGGGAAGCTGTGCAAAACATAAATAAAAACAAAATGCAATGATGTGCAAATCATTTAAACTCTATATTCCATTGAAAATAGTACAGAGACAACATATCCAATATTGAAACTGAGAAATTTTATTGTTTTTTGAAAAACATTTGCCCATTTTGAATTTGATACCAACAACACATTCCAAAAAAGTTGGCATGGGGGCAACAAAAGGCTGGTAAAGTTAAAAAACACCTGGTGGTTGACTGACAACAGGTCAGTAACATGATTGGGTATGAAAAAGCATCCCAGTGAGACTGACTCTTTCAGAAGTACAGATGAGGAGGGGTTCACCACTCTGTGAAACTGTACAATCAAATAGTGCAACAATTCAAGAATAACATTTTTCTACATAAAAGAGCAAAGAACTTTTGCTTTTGCTTTGCAAATCACTACATGGGCTCAGAAACACTTCTGAAAACCACTGTCTGTGAAAACAGTTTGGCGCTGCATCCACAAATGCAAGTTAAAACTCTAAAATGCAAAGAAGAAACTGTTAACAGGATACAGAAAAGCCACCACCTTCTCTGGGCCCAAGCTCATTTAAAATGGACTGAGAGGAAGTGGAGAAGTGTCCTGTGATCTGACAAATCAACATTTGAAATTCTTTTTGGAAATGATGGACACTCCAGGCTAAAGACCACTCAGCTTGTTATCAGTGCACAGGTCAAAAGCCAGTATTCATGATGGTATGGGGGGGGCATTAGTGCACATGGCATGGATGATGTGTACATCTGTGAAGGCACCATTAATGCTGAATGATATATACATGTTTTGGCAACATATGCAGCCATCCAGATGACGTCTTTTTTCATTGAAGGCCTTGATTATTTCAGCAAGACAATGCCAAACCACATTCTGCATGTATTACAACAGCATTGCTCAGTATTAAAAGAGTCCAGGTGCTAAACTGACCTGTCTGCAGTCCAGACCTGTCACCACTGATAAAATTTGCCGCATTATGAAATAAAAGATACGACAAAGGGACCCTGAAGTGTTAAGCAGCTGAAAGCCTATATCAAACAAGAATGGAAAAACATTTCACTTTCAAAACTACAGCAACTAGCCTCCTCAGTTCCCAAATGCTTAGTGTTGTTAAAAGAAGAGGGGATGAAACACAGTGGTAAACATTGCATTTTGTTCTTATTTACATTTTGCACAGCATCTCAACTTTTTTGGAAATGGGGTTGTAATATGTGCGGTTGTTTGGTGTTCTAGAAGTACTGGCGACACCCCAAGATATCCTCAGAAAAGTGTATCGTGAAGTAATGATGACATAGGGTCATACTGCCCACCCCTAAAGGCAGGGATGGCCAGAAAGTAACAGAAATGACACAAATAATAGCAAGCAGCAGTGATGCACCACTAAGGTACAGAGAAGACAATGGGTGCCGACACAGACACGTGACACATTTGTCACCACTGGTCAAAACAGCATCCAAGTCTTCTACTGTGTGCACCCCTGCACGTATCACCAACCCTTCAAATCACCTGCCAAGACTATAACACAGCCTAGTGGGGCCTTGAAAACTCCAATGAAGAGCGTGGAAAAAAAACAATTTTTTTACTTACTGGTAACACCATTATAACACAGAAAGAGATCAGTTTTGCTGTAGTTAGACAGCGTTCCAACTTTATTTCAACTTCACAAAACCTAACCAATGGAAATGCACCTAACCTGTTTTACAATAGAGGTTAATGGCTTTCTCTGTTAACCCACATTTGGATACTCATGCATGAGCACATGAAAGTGTGACAAACAGCGAAACGTGGAGTTGAGCACCTTATTTTTCAAAGAGAAAAGAAATCTATGTAAATATGCACAAAACGTAAATGCAGTTTATGCTGTCCCTGCTGCCTCCATGTTATTGCTTAACTGATTAACAACTGCTTTATATTTTTAATATGTATGAAAGTATAAATTCTTTTCCTAAAAAGCAATATTCTTCATGACTGACATTACAAACTTCTTGAAGGAAAAAACTGATCGGAGGGGTCCACCTCCATCAGTCCCTGACTTGTTAAAAGCTCACCCTGATTGGATATCTTTTGCACACAAAGCTGGCCACAACTATAGGGATTTTGTCAGTTGCATTCTGATTGGCTGTCTGCACATCATTGTATATGCCCTTCTGTGCAGCATTTTTTATCACCCAGACAGGAAACAGGACATTGTGATGAAGAGAACATGCCTTTTAGAGCAAGATATATATCTATCAGATTTTCAAGCACCTCACCCTACATGCCTTGACAAGACAGCGCACTGTGATGTGTTACGTTCTACATATTTAAGTAGATTTTAGTTTTCTATAAAAAAAATAAATAAAAAGCCTCATGTTCCATGTGATTGGCTGTTCATTATACACATCATGCTTTCATGTGCACGAGGATGAGGATTAAACACAGCTTGAGTGTCTATAAATGGTTTCGAGGTTCCATTTCTCACGTTTGGTGAAGCTGAAACTCAGTCAGGAACAGTGAGACAGGCCCCTGCTTTGGCACTACACACTTTCTGTGTAAAAAATTAAGTCAACTTTTAAGTTCACACCAAACAGTATTTATTATGCACGGTGAGTGTAAATAATCCTCAAACAAAACATACCGATAGCTCAGTAGATCAAACCATAGGATACATGGAAATGGTTGGTCTATTTGTTCTGCTAATAACTGTTTTTGTAATAAATTCACAACGGAAAGTGCAACTGGCTTCCATTTCCAATCAATCCAAGGCTGAGGAAGCAGCCAGTGCAGATCATATGATATTACAACAGGTTCTATTTAAATTGGTTTTATCATCCATCCACCAGAAATGACATCCACTGTATTAGAAATTACAGAAATACAGACTGTGTAGTCTATGCAGCTATACATACCCAGGATAAGACATCATTGAGTATTCAGTATAATAACACTGGCCATTAAATGAGTGATTAAGCAACCTTTTGTACCATAACATTCATTTGTACTGATGAAACTGTATGAAAAGACTAAAGCTCTAGATTGGTTCATGTCTTTTCTTCAGGAGGTCAAAAAAAATCACATAAAAACAAAGGGTTCTGCTCATGTTTGTAAGCAAACAGTAAGGAACATGGTAGGAATCAAGACGCTGATCCTTATTATTTCACTTTGCCATGCAATGAGGTACACATGTGTCTTTCTCCAGGACTCCAATTCAGAAGAATTTACATAGTATTACATACAAATGAAGCACTGTCTGAATGAATCTGTGGTTCGTATCTAAATAATCACAGTGACCTGTACATCTTCAGCTCCAGAAGCCAGTCATGTCCCAGTGAGTAGTTTCACAAGTGTCAGTTCACACAAAAATTACACTGCAGCTGATCATTTATGTAAAAACACCAGTCTGTAGAAGTGAGAAGCAGCTGGACTCGATCACTAAAAACAGTTAGAGGGTAAGATAAGATCCATCTCTGAGAAGGTGATATGGCAGCATCTGTGTGACGGACACAGGTGGCAAAGTTCCTACCGGTCAGGCCTCTGAAGACAGAAGACTTTGGCTTTGTGGTCTCCACCTGCAGTCACAGCCATGGAAGCCTCTCTGCAGCATAAAGATGGAAGAATGTACCAGAACAGTGGTTAGACATCACCACATCTGCCAATGAATATAAAATACAAGCAATGCCATCTTTAACAGATACTTTCAGAGAAGAAATGAGAAGCAGGTGGCTCTGCAATGAGGTTGTTAGGGTAGTATTCATTTTCAAATCTTTACTTCTCTAAATGCATGTCTGGCCTCTCACTCAGAAGAGCTAGTTCACGTTTGCTGCAAATTGGCAGTTTACCTAAACATATGCTACTTTCTAAGGTAGTCAATACTGCAAACATTCCACGAACTGTAGCTATTTAACCTATTAGCTCTAATACAACTAAACAGCATATCAAAAAGTCTCATTGCACTCTGCTTACTAAGTCTCCCCATCACACAGCGCTACCAAGCTGGGACGGCAAAGGCTGGAACGTGCGTCTACTATTCAAACTGCCGCCAACACTCAATGGACAGCTCAACACACTTAGAGAACACTACCTGACAATTCTACAGGACTTTTTTCATGCCGTGGATCCTCATGGATAAAGTTAAAAAAAAGTTCAACTTCAGTGGAAAAACCCAACTCATCATGTCACTTTTCATGAGGTAACCAATCAAAAAGGAGGCTAGGAAAAACAGAACCAGAGAGTTAATGCGGGGCTAAAGAGCAAGAAAGTTATGCTTGCATTTGGAATTGAGAAAATTCAGCTCAAAGACAAATCTCAATTCACCGGCACATGTAATATCCTGTACATTGTTATCGCTGAGGTTTGCTTAAAAGGAGAAAAAAAATATACGAAGAGTACCCCTCACCATCATAACTTCATGAGTATTTTACTTTAATGCAGAAATACAATGTCGACATAGGCTGAGTAGGAAGAATTAAACCTGGTGGACTTTTTCTCCACCAAAATGAAGCGCAACGAATGATAATCTCTTAAGTCTATTTAGTGTGATGTGGTGTTCAACTTCCCGCCCATAACATCACCCATAAAAACGTGCTTCTCTGCTTTACAAAAGTTGCTACAGGCAGAATCTAGATTTTTTGCGGAATAAGTTCCGCCATCTGAACACGGTTTATAATTCAGAAAATGAACCTCTCCTTTGGCAAATATCCAAAGTACTTAGGACTGCATCTCCTTAAGGGTTTCAAGTACATGCTTCGAAGCACTGGAAACTACATACCCACTACCCAGTCATCCTGCATCTGGACCCACTGAGCACATCTAGGGGCAGACATGCTCACCTGTTGAGTGTGAAGTCCAGGATCTCTGCTGAGTGACCACGGTACTCGGACACCATGCTTCCAGAACGAGCATCCCAAAGTGTTACCACTCCACCCAGATTACAGGTGGCCACTACTGCTGATGATTCTTCCCACTGCAGATGGACAATGCCAACCTGAAAAAGATTAATGTAAGTTAATGCACATTACTTTTCCAATAAGACACAGACAGTAAAAGTGATAACATGCATAAAAAATTGAGTAATAAAACCTACAAATCACTTGTTACCTCATGTTTACATCTGTGTCTAAGACTCTGTGTGGACAAGTCGTATATGGCTAGCGTGCCATCCAGATACGCCACAGCTATCAGGGGCAGCCTGATAAAAAAAAATTAAGTGATTTTAAAGTGATTTTAATTTTTACTACATTACCATGCATGAAGATAATCTATTGGGGGCCACTGAAATAAAGTGTGACCTAGATGTGACCACTTCACTCCTTAAATACATAATGGAAACAACCAAAGATAAAAAAAAAACTTACACATTACAAAACCCTACAGACTCTACTGAGTTGGAATCTTGCTCCTCCATTGTGTTTTTCGCCTCACCATTCTCAACTGAAAATGAGGCCAGTATCTACAACAAGAGTACCACATTAACAGTTTAAACATGGATTTTCTGCACATTTTTAAGTGTAATACAATTTAAGTACACATTAGCTTTACATTATAAAAGCTGTTTTGACACAGTCATATACTAATGAGGTGTTTTGTGCAGGTGGACTCACTTTGCCTGTTGATGTGTTGATGAGTTTAGCCTGTCCATCCACTGATCCTGTTAGGACTAGGGTTCCATCTTTGTTGCACTCCATGGAAGTCAGCGCTCCCTGGTGGCCATCATGGCCTGAAAAAACGAAATTTACAATGTATTTACAGAGGACTAGCTATGTTTAATCAGGCACTGCACTGTACACGTCAGGAAGGAAAAAAGGATCCAGGCCCTTCAATTTTTCAGATAAAGAAATGAAACTCTTGTCTAGAGTTATACAGATGTTTAATTACCTTTAATTACATGGATGGCACTGCCTTGTTTAAGGTCCCACAGACGCAGGGTTCCATCCTCATATCCCACCATTGCTCTTTTTCCTGTGTGTCAGTAACATGCACTTACGTATGCGCATATGTATAAAAACTCGTCAATTGCCATTACTAATACTGCTTTTAGAAAGGCAGTTAAGATCTGTGTGTTTAAGCATCCAAGTTAAATTACTTAGCTTCTTTATTTCTGGACCATTAACCCTATTGAAAGCAATAAAAAGGTGATGTCTAGTGCAGTTTCGCTGTTTAAAAAAAATCCCCTAGTCCACATTACTTGGCTGCCTTACCATCAGGGAGGATTTTTCCACTTGTTGCCTGGCAGTTAGGTCCCTGAAACGTCTTACATTCTCCACTTGGTATCTTCCACATCCACACATTGCCATCAGCTGTACCCGCCAGCAAGACCGGTGCACCAGGGTGCCACTGTAGCCACTAACAGGAGGAGACAAAGCAATAAAGCTCACACAGGAGGATTCGGTTTCTTGTTTAACAACATGGCAAAAATTAGTCATCAACAATGGAGACATGCTGTTTACTTGAAACCAGAAATGCTCTACAATATTCATTAGGTCCAAAAGATTGCAATACACTACAGACGGTGTTGGCGGCAGTGTGGCTTCTATTGTTTTATTGCAATTCTTGCATTAAAGAAAATGCTTGTCGCACAGACGGAACTTTGAACAATGGTGGCGCTGTAGTGGTCCAAAGCGAAAGTCAATTAAACGTATTGCTAAACGTCTAATGCCTTTTCACACATATCTTATTACAAGAGAATTAAATGACAATTAAACAGGAAGGAGTAATGTGGAAACAAAAGCAGGAGTAAAAATACCGGTAAAGTTAGCACTCTCATTTTCCACTAATGTGCAAACAGGAAAGTTGAGTAACATATCAACTTCTATTGTTTTTACACTTGAGCTTTCAGTTTTCAGTGAAAAACATCTCCCATGAGCGTGCTCGACTGTGACTGTGCAAAAGTGACACACGGAAAAGCGATGTTTCTGCGAGGATTTTGCTTTTACAGTTTTCTGTTTTTGTGCGAGAAAAACACTGTTGGAGTGCATTTTATGTGTGTTTCAGGAATTGAAGAGCTGTTGATCTTACATGCTGTGGACTATTTAAAAGCAAACATTTCAAATTATGCAAAGCCTCAGGGTTCTGAGGGCTTTAGTAAATATTAACTGGTACCTAAATGGCTTCAGTTTACCTCCAAATCTCCTACTTCAAATGACCAGATCTCCTCTTTAGTCTCAACCTTCCATACTTTGATCAGGCCACTCATGTCACCGGATGCTGCCAGCTTTGAGTCATGGCTGAACCCTACACATGTAACAGAGTCCTTATGGCCTGGAAAAAAATGCATAAATAAGTGTATAGTAAGTGAATGAGTGACAACTGATCTCTTAAGTTGTGCATCATGCTTATATTAGGGACTAATATGGGTAAACAAAAAAGTTCCAAACCCGATACGTTTTGTCCTACATTTACCCTCCACCTTTACTAGAACTATGAGGAAGTTTATAAGCAGAAATACAGCTGATGTTACAACCCTGCTACAAGCAAACTACCACTCTTACAATTTTTCACAAGTAAATCTACTGATTAACTTTGACTATATTCTATAACAACACCACCTAGTCACACTGTAGGCTAGCTGCTGCCGCCAAAACAACTTAACTACTACTCTTAACAAAGCTTGCTGGTTTGCGTGGGGTATTTTAGTAAGGCTGTCAATGTTATGATGTCAACTCAATGCGCAGCCGTGTTTTTCAACACTTTAGAAACCTCAGGTTCCAGTGACATTCGGGGGGGGATCAATATCTCAAAACCAAAACGTATTGGCTTTGCAACACATTCGACTATTTGATTATTAGGATGATAGTGTCAATTTCTGAAAACACCATGAATTTTTTCCATTGAGAAAAACAGCTAAGACTCAAAGTTCCTAAAGGGCATGGCACAGACTAGAGATTTATGACATGACTTGTCATGGCACTGTGTTCAGTTGATTGGCGAAGACTATTCCAACACACCTGTACATTCAAACAACACCTCCCCATCAGAGACACTCCATACACAAGCCTTGTCATCCTCGGCGCCAGTGATGGCAAGATTATTTGTCACTGGGTCCAGACTGACACAGAAGACAGAACCTGAGACAGTAAATTGGGCACAATGAATAAAAAAATTAGTATCCGTGCCTATGAACTTTGGGTATATGTGTGTATGTGTTCGTATGTGTATATATATATATATATATATATATATATATATATATATATATATATATAAAATGTACACAGACACACACACACATATTTATATTTATATATATATATATATATATATATATATATATATATATATATATATATATAAATAAATAAAATTGTTTTTTAGGAGTATAAACTAGCGGGAAAAGCATCACCTGTGTGTTTAGAGAAAGTGAGCTCGCTGTCATCTTGCTCTGCTTCCATCTCATCCTCAGTTTCCCAGCCTTCATCATCCTGGTCTTGGTTGCCAGCATCAGCAAAATCCACGTCTTCAAACTCCTCAGCAAGGTCATCTAAAACCCACAGCACAGATGTAATAGCCACTGTAGTTTGCCTAAAAACTACACCCAGTAACTTACCGTCCCGTCTACACTGAAGGGAACATCAACTTTTCCATAACTTAAGACAACAGGCTCCATGAATCGCTGACTACTGGCTACTGACGCAGAAACGTAGCGTTATCGGAAAGACAGAGAGAAAATGAAGACAAACCACCAACCTGGAGTCTGTTCTGTATCGCTCAGATCAATGACTTCGATTATCTCTTCGTCCCCGTGAAGCTGCACAGCGTCTTCTTCAGCGTTATCCATGGCCGGTGACTAAACTCAGCGTGTTGGTCTCGCTACTGCCTTGCTAAGCTAGTTAGCTAGCTAGCTAGCTGGTGAACTTTACAGGCGGATTCGTAAAAGCTCCTCCTCAAGTTTGTGATCCCGAAAGATATCGTGTTTAGTCAGAAGACGTGTATTGTCAGTTTAATACGAATGTAATCTACAGAAAATTTTAATCGTTTTGTCAAAAACCATCCGTTACCCCCATGTTATTCACGTGTTAGCCTGTGAGCCCTGCGGTAACGTTTAACTACTGAACAGGAATGACGTCCGACTCGTGAACGATTCGTTCTTTTTGAGCGGGTGAATCGGTCGAACCGACTCACTTTTTGAAAGATATAAGTTACAATGCTTACGTCTTGTTAGAGGCTGACCTCTTTTAATACAATTCGACATTCTTATATATACTTACATATAAGTTACGTTCTCTCTTTTGCATGTTAGCCTTGCGTTTAAAGAGACGAGGCCCAGTCTTTTGGAGAGCAAAAGAACTGGACATCAGACTAAGTTAAACCGAACCTTTCTGTATTTGGAGTGGATGAGAATTCGAATTCGGCACCCCTGCCGCGAGATGCACCCCCTCACGGGAGCGCGCGCTCAAAGTCTTTTGCTCGAAAGCGGTCATCCGCTTTTACTTTACATATATCGATTTGAAGAACTTGCAAAACATCACCTTCGTCTTGATCAGCAACACCATAAATCGCTGTTTTACAGAATGGAAATACCCCAGATGTTCTTCTAAAGTACAGTGACTCGTAAATAGTAATACAAAAGTATAATGTAGCCTACATACGCCGCTGCTTACTTATTCTACGACATAGCAGTCTGCATTGGCTTTGTGTGCAGCAAAACTTGTTGCTTGTTGCTATTTGTCAACAAAATATACATATGAATTTCACCTACTTATCCTGTCATGTTTCTCACCAGTCTGGATCAGGTTCTTTAGATTTTACACTCTAAAGGCAGTGACTTCTCTACACTCTTATTGCTGCCATGTAACTTGCATGGATACATACTGTTTGCAAATACATACTGCTAAAATCATTTCATGGTAGACTCAAAAGAAAGAAAATGACAGGGAAATGCTTTGAATACCAGAACACTGGCCAGAAAATGCTAGTTTTTGCTAAATTGGTGTTGCTTCCCTGAAAATTTATTGCAGAAAACACATGTTGGCCCTAAGTGGATATTACTAATATATTTCATAGTTCTATTCATAAAAAACGGTACAAGAGGATGCTTTTCAAGTGAGTCCACCTGTTAGGAAAAGAACCCTCTTTTAGATCTGGCTGGGGGGTTGTTGTATCTATGATACTTGTATAGGTTTCACATGTTGGACACAATTATGTGTGATTAAAAACAAATTATAGTTGTGTCAACAGAAAGAAAGTTATAGGGGGTGCCTTTTAAGGCAGTCCACCTGCCAGGAAATGCACCCCCTCTAAAATCTGGCTACATCATTATTACACCCATGATACTTATTCAGGTATCACATATTGGTCCAAACTATGTGTGAATAAAAACATATCATAGTTGTGTCAACAGAAAGAAAGTTATAGAGGGGTGCCTTTTAAGGCAGTCCACCTGCCAGGAAATGCACCCCCTCTAAAATCTGGCTACATCATTATTACATCCATGATACTAATTACAGGTATCACATATTGGTCCAAAATATGTTTGAATAAAAACATATCATAGTTGTGTCAACTGAAAGAAAGTTATAGGGGGTGCCTTTTAAGGCAGTCCACCTGCCAGGAAATACACCCCCTCTAAAATCTGGCTACATTATTACATTCAGGATGCTTATACAGGTAATGCTTATGGGTTCCAAATATGTTGAAGGGATGCAGATTATCTCCCTTAATCAAATTTGAATATTTGGAATTCTTGCTTAAGAATATTTTTCTCCAATCTATGTCAACAGACATGGCAGTGACCAATGGTAGACGAGACCGAACTGGGTATTTTAGTCATTGTATATAACTGGATGAAAGGGAACCTTCAAGGTCTTGGGCCTGAGACTCTTTCTGATAAGATTACGAGACACCATATCTTTGTTGACTTGAAAAATGTTTTTCAGGATAACAAACATACCAAGGAAACATACAATAAAGAAAATATAAAAATAGAGAAAAATAATCTCAACAGATGATTATGTTCACTTAAACCGCATGCACAAAGGCTTACCTAAGGAAAAGCTTAAAGAAAATCAGCAGGCTAAAAGAGAGAGAGAAAGGCAGATAGACAGAGACAGAAAGACAAAGTGGTGGGGTGAGAGCCCTCGCAGGTGTCTCCCCCATCTAACACAGACTTCATTGAGGCAGTTAGAGCTTTTTCATATTATATGTAAATGAGACAGTCTACACATATAATTACTAATTACAAAACAAAACTATTATAATGTAGACTTAGATAGGCTTAGCAACAAAACTGAACAGAGTCATTGGTGAGATTCAGTCAACAAAGATATGGTGTCTCGTAATCTCATTATGGGCAAGAGTCTCAGGCCTTGAAGGTTCCCAAAAGGTCACCTTTCATCCAGTTATATACACTGACTAAAATACCCAGTTCGGTCTCCTCTACCATCGGTCACTGCCATGTCTGTTGACATAGATTGGAGAAAAATATTCTTAAGCAAGAATTCAAAATATTCAAATTTGATTACAGGAGATAATCTGCATCCCTTCAACATATTTGGAACCAATAAGCATTACCTGTATAAGCATCCTGGATGTGATAATAATATAGCCAGATTTGAGAAGCAGTGCATTTCCCAGCAGGTTTAGTGATACTGCTATGAAACATTTTTAGTAATGCATATTTTGGACCAATATGTGACACCTGCATAAGTATCATGTAGCCAGATTTTAGAGGGGGTGCATTTCTTGGCAGGTGGACTGCCTTAAAAGGCACCCCCCTATAACTTTCTTTCTGTTGACACAACTATAATATGTTTTTAATCTCACATATGTTGGACCAATATGTGACATCTGTATAAGTATCATGGACGTAATTATAATGTAGCCAGATTTTAGAGGGGGTGCATTTCCTGGCAGGTGGACTTCCTTAAAAGGCACCCCCCTCTAACTTTCTTTCTGTTGACACAACTATGATATGTTTTTATTCACACATATTTTGGACCAATATGTGATACCTGTATAAGTTTCGTAGATGTAATTGTAATGTAACCAGATTAAAAAGGGGGTGCATTTTCCAGCAGGTGGATTAAAAGGCACCCCACTTAACTGCTTTTCTTTTCACATAACTATGATATGTTTTTAATCACACATATTTTAGACCAATATGTGACACCTCTATTAGTTTCATGGATGCAATAACCATATAGCCAGATTTAGGAGGGGGTGCATTTCCTGGTAGGTGGACTGCCTTAAAAAGCACCCCCCTATAACTTTCTTTCTGTTTACACAACTATAATATGTTTTTAATCACACATAATTGTGTCCAACATGTGAAACCTATACAAGTATCATAGATACAACAACCCCCCAGCCAGATCTAAAAGAGGGTTCTTTTCCTAACAGGTGGACTCACTTGAAAAGCATCCTCTTGTACCGTTTTTTATGAATAGAACTATAAAATATATTAGTAATATCCACTTAGGGCCAACATGTGTTTTCTGCAATAAATTTTCAGGGAAGCAACACCAATTTAGCAAAAACTAGCATTTTCTGGCCAGTGTTCTGGTATTCAAAGCATTTCCCTGTCATTTTCTTTCTTTTGAGTCTACCATGAAATGATTTTAGCAGTATGTATTTGCAAACAGTATGTATCCATGCAAGTTACATGGCAGCAATAAGAGTGTATCCCGATTTATAATGGATTGCATCTCCTGAGATTTTTTTTACAAGTCACTGCCTTTAGAGTGTAAAATCTAAAGAACCTGATCCAGACTGGTGAGAAACATGACAGGATAAGTAGGTGAAATTCATATGTATATTTTGTTGACAAATAGCAACAAGCAACAAGTTTTGCTGCACACAAAGCCAATGCAGACTGCTATGTCGTAGAATAAGTAAGCAGCGGCGTATGTAGGCTACATTATACTTTTGTATTACTATTTACGAGTCACTGTACTTTAGAAGAACATCTGGGGTATTTCCATTCTGTAAAACAGCGATTTATGGTGTTGTTGATCAAGATGACCTACGCTTTCGAGCGCTCCCTAGCCATGCATCTCGCGGCAGGGACCTGTGAATCCATGAATGTTTCACTGAAACGGGCGGAACGAAAGAGTCGATTCCGTAAACAGAATCAAACGCGAACTTAAGAGGCGGGACTTCCCGTTTCGGAGGCAGCTTGTGTTACCCGTTCATGACACAAGATGGCGCGATGTGGTATACTGCTTAAAAACGTCATAAAAGTTAGCAGGTCCCGTTAAGTATCTCACACAGGTAATGCTTTCACAATTTAAGACAGTGTTTTTATGCCACATAAGTGTATATCAGTAATTTACTGCTCTAGGTTGTCTACCACAGAATGTTCGCATACTGATCGAGCCCAAAAGTAGTAAGTAACGTTAGTATGCAGTATATGACCAACAGGAATTTCTCCAGATATCAGGATGACATACTGACCAGATATTACGGTATGCATGCATTGCATCCCAGAATGCTACATAGTCATTTTAGGACGATGTAGCCATGGCCGCCTTGTGTTCATGTGACTTTAGTACAGAACACGTAATTGTGGTAGACAGGATACTACTGTGAAGAGTAGGATTCAGTATACAGTCTATAACGGTTAAGCAATAGAACTCTACATCTGAGACTGAGTGATAGAAGTCAGACAAAAAAGTTAGTCTATCTGAGGCTGACTTCTCAAGAATTAAATTTCAGAAACAGAAGGAAATGGCTTAAGTCTCACTGCATGAGATTAAGAGGAGATCTCATTTAGAATATTTCTCTCCTCTGAGGCCTTGTAATATTGAATATTGAATACTGAGTTCTTGTGCCGTTTCCAGTTCAGTAGATTGGCTGTATGCTGTACGTATGAGAGTTGTATGAGATTGTGTGGGAAAATACTGAACAACATGATTATGTTTCAGAGTAGCTTGGTGTGAAAGGAAAAGATTGCTGGAAAGAAGCCAGTTAAATACACTATATGAAAAAAGTATTGGTACACACATCTTAATCATTTTATTCATTGTTTCATCCAGCCCAATCGCCACAGGGTGTATAAAATCAAGCACCTAGCCATGCAGTCTGCCTTTACAAACATTTGTGAAAGAATAGGTCATTCTAAAGATCTCAGTGA